CAATACTTGAATATGAGAGTGTTGGACAACTGTTGTGTTGTAGTTTGGGACTGTTCAGTAGGAGATGCATGCATCCATTACCCTATTGGGGGTCGAACCTAGGCACTTCGAGTTACGAGGCGAGTCCACTGACGACGACCATTCAATCATCGGGTAGGAATGTAAACACTCATGAATTCCAACCACTGCCAGTTCACGATTATTGTTTATTATTAATCCCTTACATTCTGAGTGGAACATAGGGCTTCGCAAGGTGTATGCGATCCATATCCATTTTCTTCCGCATATTTGTTGAGCAGTCGGTCCTTCATTGGTTTGTTCCCATGGTTTCTTGTTGCTAATTCTATCTAGCCATTTGATCTTCAGTACTCAACCATTGAAGGCGGCTGTTAATAAAAGTCTGCAACAGGCTGTTGGAAATGCTTTCCGTGACACGAGCGCAGTGCAAGTTTCTGACCCATACAGAAGAACTGACTGACTTCACATTTGTGTTGAAAATCCGAATCTTCTTTATGCTTAGGCGGAGTGCAGAAGATTTCCAAACTGGTTTCAGGTTGATGAGGGTGTATCTTGCCTTTCCGATTCTGGCTGGCTTGCTTTGACATCTTCATCCGTTCCACCGGCCTGTAGTTGAAACGATGCTTCCTCACTGGAAAAGTAAAGGAAGTGACTTCTGTCAAATCTCTCCCATTGATGGTCATTGGTGCTGGTTGTTGTGTTTTGATGTTGCTGTTGATTGGTTAACTTCATCACCTCCGTCTTTAATATGTTCACCTGGAGTAGTCTTGTCGTCTCTGGCTGCTTCTTCAGCTAGTTTATTTTGATTTTCGCTTGTAAGTTTCCGAGTTTGTGTGACACATTAGACATAGTCCAGGTCACTACAATTAGGAATATCATCGGTAATCGTAGTAGACAGCCTTGTCTTACTCCTGTCTTCACTTCAAAGGCTTAGTTAGCTGAGCTTTCCGTCGGGAATCACATGACACATGTCATTGTCATATAGCCGGCTGTTGAATGAGGTTGATAAAGATTCCGGGCCAATTTCACGATAATTATATTATTAGTTAATCACGAATGCTACTCACGATTCAAGAAGTAGATTCAATGTTCAGACATATGCTTGAAACCAAATCCTAACTCTACCATCCACCCTTAGTCTGAAATCCTATTTCATATCTCCAACTCCTGAATCTTAACATCAGTTATTTAGATGATTGCCGATACTTTTTATCCCCATTTCTATTCAATTCCATCATAAATGTACTAATGGACTTAACCCTAACTGCTGACTTCAGCGACTCAGTGATTCATTTGTTGCCACCAGAGAATAACCTCGTTGACTTAGAATATGCGGACGCTGACAAAATGCAGACTCTTCTGGACACCTTCAGCAGCAATCTGCGAATGTTTGGCATGCGATTCGCTCCCACCAAATGTAAGATGACGCTACAAGACTGGACTACATTGACTCCTAGCTTAGGAATAGGGAGTGAAGTGGTTGGTGGGACATGTTGACCACTTGACTTATTTGGGAAGTTGTATCAGCCAGTACCAACGGGTTGATTGATCGGTGACGAAATCTCAGCACGGATACAGAAGACTCGTTTCACATATGCCAGTTTACGCCATCTCTGGCTTAATAGACGTGATATCCGACTGGTTGTCGACCAAAGGGCGTGTGTAGTGCTCTACAGTTCACTCCGTCCTCGCCTATGGCTGTGAGTGAGACACGGCCACTGAGAGTGGAAGACATGAAAAGCCTGGCTAGCTGTCTTTGATCATAGGTGTCTGCGTTCTATCTCCCGTGTGAAATTGTATAATAGGATGAGCAATATTGAGGTTAGGCATCGGTCGAGAGCTAGGTAATGAGTGGAAATCAATCGACGAGGTTGTGAAGTTACATAGACTGAGTGAGATGGTGGGGACATGTGTTACGCATGCCTAACCATCCATCGTCTTCCTCGACAACGGGCAACGTCAGCTGACATAGGATGGATCAGGTTAGAAAATAGCTAGCACATGGTGGTCAAACGAAAACATGGCCTCATCAGTCAATGAAATCCACAACATTTAGTTTAAGCCACGTAGGAAGGTGTAGACTTCCTGGTTGGGGTCCTCGTGACGATAAAAACCAATGGATGCTGGAAAAAATTGTTGATATAGCTCAAAATCGTTCTCATTGATGGCTGGCTCAGATGCATCCACTCCTTGTGACTTATAATATCAAATAAGACTATTTTGTTCTTCGATATTACTATTCTTTTTGCCTCATATCTCTGTTTACTGTCTCTAGTTTTTGAATTTCTTCTCTTGCTTTGTGTGATACATGGAGTGATGTGGCAACTCGAACTGCTGCTTATCCATGCTGTGCAAAATTCTATGTTGAAACCAGTCAGTCAGTCTTTTATGACAAATTGGAATAATAATAATAATTTAAAATACAGAATCTATTCAATATTTTTACACATCTTGTTGGGTCTTAGAGGTCAATTAACTTCAGTTAGTGATAATAACACCTTTATTCTGAACAAATTGACTACACAGTGTGTAGAAATCTTAGTGCCTTATATTTTTTCTCTCTTCGTAATTGACCTTCAAGTGAAGTAGTAGGTCATAGTACATCACGTGACACACAGTATTGTTCACTCTTCAGTATAACCTTACGATAATTTTCTCTTGTTCGTCTCCTATAAACACGCACACTGATAGATTGAAAGGCCATGTGAAAATGTGTTTGTGTGTGTGAGAGTGCACATATTGCAACGCAAAGACATATGAGAATAATTAGAAAAACTAAGAAACAGAGAAAATTTGATGCACTTTATTGGATGAAAATTCAGTCAGCCCAGTGTTTCAGTCAGGGTTACTATGTTTCAACTGTCAAGTAGTGTCATAGGCTCTCTCTCTCTCTGGCTCTGTCTTTAGCCTTCCGACACCTTTAAGTAATTTGAAGGACATACTCTCGAATATGATCATTTTGATGTGTGTATATCTCTCGATCAGATAACCTGCACTTTTGGAACCAGATATATAAGTGGCCAAGTTAAACTTCAAGCACCACTGACTGACTACCAATAGAGTGCGACCGCACCAGTGACCGTGAAACGCACACTGAGCATGTAATGTTGTCATCATCAATAAATTATGCTCATCGAAGTGTTATGCTATTTAATGGGATTTCTAGAAAGTTTCAGCTTAGGTTTGGGAAAGATTAAGTTACGCTTTAAGCTAAGGACAAGTTACGGTTAGGTTAACCTAAAAAAGGCGACATTAGGGGTTGGTTCGAGTTAGGTTACAGTTAGTTTAGGGATATTTTCACGTTACGGTTAGGTTCAGGAAAGATTAGTGTTATTGTTGGGGTTAGAAAACCTAAATAATTACATGCATAGAATGTGTAGTTAAATTACTCTGTTGGTTTTGATGTGGTTGTGTTCCCCGAACTGGATAGTTAATTTGCGAAGATTTTCATTGCCCTACCAGGCAACATCTTCAGCGTATACTACAATCTATTCTGTCCCTAAGAAAGATGTCTTTATTAAATTATCATACAATGGGGAAGTAAATAGTAGAATTTTAAAACAAAGGCTAAACTCGGTCATCTGCAGAAAGTACGGTGCAGCCTGGCTTATTTTTTTTTCCTTCACGTTCCCCAGTGGAACATAGGGCTTCGAGCTAGAGGCTTGAAGTTTCTGTAGCAGTGTTTATTTTACAGGATGGGGTTGCTAGCCTCATGCCCAACCTTTCTTCTTCACCAGCATTATATCTGGCTTAGCGAGGTGAAGGAGTGCGTCCGTGGCCGGGGATCGAACCCCGGACCATGTGCATGGTCGGCCTGGCTTATAATTACTGAAAAAGGCAAAAATATGCTCCACTGAAAATCTGAAAAGTGCACAAGTGGTTATGTCACATCCCACATTATATACCAATTTACGTGTGTATGTGTGTGTGTTGACACACATACATAGGGAAGAGTAATTGCACTTTGCATGTGAGGGTGAGAGGGAATATTCTGAATTGGTTAGAAATACAAATGAACTTTCGAAAATCGATAGATGCAGGTGGCGGCATACTAACAACTTCGTCCATCGCTAAACATCTAGTCGATATGACCCACACGATTGATGTCAAAACAGCTTTTAAGGTAATTTTTAAAAATGGTGAAGGGAGCTTATTGAAGTACGCTGAGGCGTTAGCTATTCTAGTGGGAAGTCGTATCCAGTAGGTTACAGGAGGTTGAAAGTGAGGTAGTAACTCATAGAAGAAGACATTGCGAAGTGGTCGCGCCATGTCATGAATCGGCAGAAGTTAGAATTCATGTCCTGGCCAGTGAATCGAGTCTGAGCTCGGTAGCCTTGTATCCAGAAGGTCCTGTGTTTGACCCCCTGTGATGGGTGCATACTGCTGAAGAGTCCCAAGCTAGGACGGATGAAAAAGCTGTCCAGTACTCCTCCCAGTTGATTCTCTAACTGGTGTCAGCTCATGATGAAACCCTCCAACCAATCAAACAAAAAATCCTTACAAAACCAATACTTGTAAATCGAATAATTCATAAGATTAGTAGGTAGATAGAATAAAATCGAAACGTTACTTAACATTGTGTGAAATTTAATAACATAGCATTTAACGTTGCAAAATAGAATTGATTTAGAATGATAAGTGCAGGATAGTGTTTTTGCACCCTCTTGGACAAAACTCGAGTCGAACGACCGATGTACCTGGTTCCACACGAGCAGGTGAATTGATAAACACACACTGAGCTGGTCAACTGCTGGATCTTGTCCCTCAAGTTATTGAACAGTGATGTTCGACTGGTAAACGCTATTCTCAAAGATGCAGCAGGGAATGTTTTCTTTCAGGGACTGTGACATCCATCTTTTAATGATATCGGAAGCTAAGTCACATTTTAAATTCCAAGGTCATATACAATATTTTCTTGAGTTACTAACTGTTTTAAATACTTGTACATTGAACAAAAAAATTATTTTTTTTCAAACTTTCAGCGACAGCGTATATCCGCCAGTGATGCATTAAATCATCCTTTCCTTGAAGAAGCACGTTTACGTTATCATTCATGTATGTGTTCGTGTTGTCATGATGTCTCGTCAAATTCTGGTAATGAAGGTGTACAAACCACTGGATTTTGTTGTGCTCCTTCACCGTCTGCATCATCGTCCTGTGCTTCATCGTCTACACCCTCTTCGGATTCCATGCAGAGTAGTAATAATAATAATAACGGGAAATCTCTACATAGATATGAAGCTAAAACTGCTGCCAATGCTATGCCATCCGGTAGTAATTCAGCATATTCTTCTTCGGGTACAGCTAGAAGACGTTATTTTCATGATTTGGATCCTATTTGTCCAATTCTCCTTCCGCTTGATCTGGACTCAGGATTTCGTCGTCTCTCAGATGCTAAACGTAAGTTTTGTATGCTTATTTTCTTTTATATATAAGTAATATAAATAGTTCCCAATTAATGATGGCTACTTTTAAAGTTTAAGAATGGATTGAAGGTGGTTCAATCAACTTCACACAGAGAAAACTGTACATAATTATACTTCGATGATTTTTACGAGTTGATCACTGATTGATATCAGTTAGAGGACCATTGTTAAACCAGCTGGGAGTACCGCCAGACAGCTGTTTCCTTCGTCTTTGTTTCGAAATCATCGGCAGTACGCACCCACCACCCACCAGGGTTCGAACCCAGGACCTTCCGGTTACAAGGCAAGCTGGCTTGTATACCATTCAGCCACTGAGACTCGATCCACTGGCTAGGCCATGAATTTTAACTTCTACCAGGATGAAACAGCTGTCTGGCAGTACTCCCAGCTGGTGGTTTTCAATGGTTCTCTCTGACTGATATCATCAATCCGTGGTCAAACTCGTAAAAATAAAACTAATCTTTACAAACCAACTATAGAAAGTTCGATTATTATTTGAGAAATTGATCCCTACACTGTTGATCTGCCAAAAAAGAGGACAACTGGTTAAAGTTGGATCACTAAATGATGATCGGTTAGGTTAAGCATTGAAAACTAGAAAACATTAGATAACTATTTCGTCTTAGTTTGTGACTCTTTAGCAGTCAGTATATGCTCCCCATCGATCTCTGAATCAAACTCACAGCGACTAGTAAATCATAGATAAATTTTCAAGTGTTGGTTTGCAGGGGATCTTCTCAGTGCTCATCCACCTGGTGGGATTCGAATCTAGGACCTTCTGGTTACAAGGCGGCTAGCGATCTCGTAGACCATTAAGCCACTCACTGGGACCTGATCGATCCAATGGCCAGGTCATGAATTCCAACTTCTGCTAATTCATGATATAGCGCGACTGGCACTGACCACTGTCATCCATCCATGGCGAGTATTTGTCTTCACACCATGCCTGTTGTACTCCACTGGTCACGATTTCTCACTTGAACCCAGGTAACTACCTACCTACCTACCTACGTGGATAGGTCCAGTCACCAATGAGGATATTAGACTGATATATTCAAGAAGTACCCGGAAATTCAAGAAGAATATTCTCAACAAGGTGTGGGATTTTTCAACCCTGTCATCAAGAATCACTCACTAAACACTTCTCACAGACAGTTAAAGGTTAAAATCTCTACCATGGACAACGCTGACCTCATTCAAATAAAATCACAGTCGTAGAACAAGACACAGTCAACATTATCATCATCATCATTACGCGACCGCAGAGAAAAACGTTTAAATTAGGGATTAGAGAAGAATAAAGATAAATAATAAGGATTAAGTCAATTGGGTGACATGCAAATAAATAAGGTCAGTGATATTATTAGCCTAGGAGAAAAGAGGAAAATAATCAAAAGATTAGTTAAAATATCCAAATGAAAAGCAGCAAGTTGGCAGAAGAAGCATCCAGAGAAGATAGGAAGGACTTCAGGTGAACATAGAGAAAACAGATCTAGGTGATGAAGATTCCTGGCCAACACCACCACCACCAACAACAACAGACAACAGTCAGCATAATTGGGAGGAACCTGAAAGAAACAACGTCCTCTACCTACCTACCTACCTACCTACCTGGGAAGCATCGTTTCAACTACAGGCGGATGGAACTGATGAGGATATCAAAGGAGCGAGGATCGGGAAAGCAAGACAAGCTTTCACTACTCTCAAGTCTGTGTGGAGGTCAACAACACTACTCAGCATCAAAAATAAGATCCGGATTTTCAACTCCAATGTGAAGTCAGTCAGTGCTACTATATGGATCAGAGACTTGGAGTGTCATAAAGAGTACCTCAAACAAACTACAGACCTTCACTAACAGCTGTCTTCGCTCAATACTACTCAAGATCAGATGGCTGGACAGAAAAGATCAGCAACAGGCGAGGATCTCTGGGAGCAAACCAACCAGGAACTGATTGTGAAACAAATAGGCAGGAAGAAATGGAGATGGATTGGCCATACTCTGAGGAAACCATCAAGTGAGTGACATCACTAGACAAGCCATTGCTCGAGTGGAACCCGAAAGGGAAGCGGGTTATGATATATATATATATATATATATATATATATATATATATATAATCATACTGGTCTATGGAACAACTGGATGAGTATATGTGTGCCACATGCCAGCCTCGCTTATGTATCGTCTTATAATTGTTATATTATTATTATTATTCAATTAACTCCACAGGGTGAATGTCCGTGAAAAGGAACATTACAATATATATGTACAACAGGACTATATGAGAAGTTTTACTATTGTGTGTGACACAGACTCAGAGAAAATGTCTCCTACCCCCCGTATTGTATTTTCCAACATCTCTAAGCTTTTTTGTTGGTGGTGTTGTTGTTGTCGTCGTCAATATTGGAGTGAATGGCACAATGTGAAATAATATTCAACTGTCTTTAACTGTTTTGTTTTGTTTTTCTGTGAAGCAAACCTGTAGGATACTTTTCTTTTTCCTTAAGTCTATGAGGTGATGATTGACACGTAATCACTTGTGTGCGTGTGTGTGGTTGTTCGGTTTGGTGTGTATGGTTACATGAACAAATCAGCAAAATGTGCTACAACTCTGCTGCTACTGTACTAATTAGTTAGTTGATTAGTTAGTAGTAGTCGACTGATAATTCACTGTAGAGGTGAAAATTTTCCGTAAAACTATATACTACTGATTGATTGAAATGAGTAGTGTTGTATATCACTGACATCATCTGGTAGAGTTAGATCGAAGTGATATGACAACACTCTATGGCCACCGCTTCTTCATTCGTTTGCAGCTGACCTCATCTTGGGGAGGGGAGGTTGTACCTGGCTAGTGTGAGACTCAATTCGAAGAGCTGAATCACTTCAAACTCTGTGAACTAACTAGTCACCTTTTTTTAAAATCAAATTCACAATTTACAGCCTAAACAGTTCGAGAAGGTTAACTTTAAGTATGGTTTCCGGTAGGAAGCTGAAATTCTCCAGATATCAGAAGGTTGTCAGCCCAAGTAGCTGGCCAGAAATCGACTGGTTTATAAACTGACTCAGCTGTCTGAGCTGTGTCAAACTGTGAGTACCCCACTGATGGTGGATGAGTTCGGTTTCAAACAAGTGAAATAGCCGTTCAGTACTTACTTTGACCACTTCGATCTTGCTACTGGTTGATGTGATTAGTAGTAGAACATAGTTACACGCATTTATCCTTGCCTTTATTGATTTCCATCTATGGTATGGTATCAAAGTAAATCACACTTTGTTTGGGGTGGTGTGAATAATTTCAGTTTCCAATAGAAATCTGTTGTGGGGTAATTTCACCTTCTCGAACTTTGTAAATTGCGGACTGAGAATATGATTTATGAGTAATGTTCATCTCTCGCTCTCTCTAGGTATTGATTTAACTTGTTGGCTGACTCATCCTCATATCTAACACATACCTGTGCGTCGGTGGTATAGCGGTTAGGACTCTCGCCGGCCATGCACATGGTCTGGGGTTTTATCCCCGATATCAATGGTTGGCCTGCAAAATCAGGCTACCGATATCACATGCTGAAAATTTCATACTTTTACCGAAAATATGGTGTGGAGTCATGTTATAATATCAAAAGAAAAAACAAGGATTGGTCAACATTGTAACTTATTTTAAGTGTGAACTTAGTCATTCTAGTCGCCTGATGTGATGTCAAGTTCAAACTGACAACGGGGTTATCAATATGTGATCATCATCTTGTGTTGAAAAGGTGGAGTTGTGGTTTATCCTGTTTAAGCATTCTACTTTCAACCAACCAGCAAGCAAGTCCCAAGTTCGAGTCCCGCTCCACTTACTCCAACCCAGACTAATGGGTAGTAGCATTAGCAGCCTCCTTCAGACAGTAATTGTGTGTAACTCATGATCTCATACGCGAGAGAGAGAGGGGGGCGGAGAGAGACAGTAACTTTACTCAACAACTTGATATTTAGTAGTTTTGTAACAACAGAAGACCATCTCTCACCACACTCGTCCCCCCGTCAAAGACTTGCGACTGAAGTTGGTTCGGTCTTCTCGGTTCTTGGGGCTTTGCTCTTTTGTCTTGCTATCTGGAATCTCGGCGCTTGCGGATGTGCACCTGTTTCTCTGTGTTTACCATTGCGATTGTGTCTGTGTAACCCCATCTCAACGTGACCATATATGGTCCTTCCCACTTTGGAAACTGTTCGCCTGACCCTGTCGCACATTCATAGGTATTTTGCCTCACACTTCCATATGCTGCTTTCTTACGACCTCCCAGCAGCGTCCCGAGTAGCAGCCTCATCGCTGACAGATCTTGAACGCCACTCAACTGCAAAGAAGCCTCAAAGTCCTGCGCGAAGATCCATATGTCTCCATCAAACACTGCAGGGCATAGGCTTTCCATTTGTCGGTAGGCAGCGACACCAAATGTAACAACAGAAGACAAGGGCCAGGCAACAGAACTTTTATTACGGAAAATCAACACATATTTATAGATTTTGATGTACATTATTGTAGGTTAATGTTAGTAGGAAATACAGTCTGTTGATTGGTTGTTTCTCACACAAAGTTAACCTTGCATCTCTTGTGGCTGTGTCAGTTCATCTATATGTTAACTGTATCCGCCTGTCCATGTTGACCTTGTTTTCACATGACTAAAATTGACCTCAATTACTGTTAACCAATTTGGCTAACAACCATCTCTCACCACAGTTTCACTAAGCTCTTGATTCTCTACAGTTACCCCTAGAGGGGTGTAGGTGGTCATGGAGAGGTAAATAGGCCTCTCTTTCACCAAATGAACCGTATAATTTAATAATAAAGATAATAATAATAATAATAGTAATAATAATAATAACAGTGAGTTTGTTTCAAACAGTGTTGTCGATTCAGTTTGGAAATCTTAGCATGTTATGGATTATTGAATCTAATGTTCTGTTGATATGTATAGTAAAGTGAGGGGAAATACAAAATTAACAGTTATAACACAACTCAAATGATGTTCACACTTATGAAAAAATAAATAAACAAATAAAAACAAAAAATTAAGAGGATTATAAATATAAGAAATACAATAACAATAAAGTTTGATGCTTTAAGGGTGGAGGAAATGGTATATTTACTAGTGCAAAGAAGGTTAGTTAGTTAGTTCATGCCTGACACTATTTTCATCACATAAAGTACGTGCCATCATATATGGTATAGTGGAATTTTTATACTTAGACGTACGTACATAAATTCTTCTGAAAAGACTTCTTGTTTTACGTGAGGAGGAGACACAAGGTTGGAGCTGTGGGTGCTGCAGTGGATGCTCACAATTTGACAAAATTTCTTTAGCAAATTTGTTTCATGACATCAAGTGCCTGTCATCAATGACAATGTCAACGATATGGCCCAATGGGATACCACTACTCGCCCTACTGACAGTCAGTCTTCAGAGTTCTACGAAGTATGACATAGTCTTTTTTAAGCAATCCAGGGGAAAGAATAAGGGTGAACAGTAAAGAAGAATAGGTAAGATTCAAGAGTTGACAAACTGTAAGAGGAGGAGGCGTTGGTTGTGTTGTTATGCCTGAGTGCCTTAACTTCTTCTTAATGTAAAAAGTCAGACGAAATAATCTTTTATAAATCTTTCAAAAGAATAGACACGGAACAAAGAGTACTCTTTTCGATAAATTCATCATCAGGTTCTACAATTATATATACATTATAATGAATGAATGAATTAGTGTTATGAACGACATTAATGCTGTTTAAATAACATCAAATCAATAATATTGATAGATTACAGCTGAACAGCATCAACATCAATTAAACTGAATGTCAGAAGATTTAGGAAAGGTAATAGTACAAATTCATGAGTTTATAGTCTCTACTGAGGGCCAGGGCAGTAGTAGGGGCTGGACTAGCTTCTTTTGGACACAGAGCGCTGGTTGTTTGAGTCGAATTGCAATAGCCTCTGCTGTTTGGAGCAAGCGGTGCCTCGACGATTTTGGTAATTTGTTAGGCACCCGGTATATTATGGAGAAGGATTCGTCTACGCTGGCTTTGTGGCCGGCCGGTTTGCACCAGATGGTCCAATATCGAGCTGTTAATAGTTTTAACTACACCTTTACTTAGCCATAGTGGGATATATTCTCAAGGGAGCACGAAAAATCAAGTTCCTAGAGCAACGGCCAATATAACTCGCTCCACCAACAGCGCAGTTGAATTGATAAATACAGTTTGAAGTGGCCAGCTAGTCTAGGTACTTCATCTTTCAGTCGAGGTAGCAGCATCGGTCTTTTATAAATCGCTAAGACATGGGAAGACCATTATTGTTCTTTGTTTTCTCTCTCTCTCTCTCATTGATTTGTCCTTATTCACTCACTCTTTTTTTAATCAAAAATCAGGTGTTCTCTGGGATAGTATTCAAGAATATTATCGTCGAGACGATCGTTTAACAAGAGTTGTGCTCAATCGAAACGCTGCAAATTATAATAATTTCATTAAGTAAGTCTAATTTCTTCCATCTGTCTATTTGTTTGTCTGTGTTTGTGCATACCGATTTGGTTTTTCGCTCGAGAAATTTTTTCACATTAATTAAACCAATAAGTATGCTAATTTTATGCTGTTGCTGTTTTTTCATAGATTAAAATTGAAGTGGTGATTTGAAGAATTGGTTTGAGACAAAAAAACGTTCCGAATTCGTCTGATATTATAAATTATGTAATGTCGCTCTTTTTGAAATGTGTGAGTTTCGTGTTCTGAGTAGAGCTAAGTGCTAAAAGCCTTGCTTTGTGTGTCATTGATTTTGATTTATTTGATTTACTTCAGCTATCTCCTACGGGAGGATGAGCCGGCTTTATGAACATCTCGAATCATCGCTGCCCAGGCGCGGCGATCTGTGTTTGTAAGAGAGTTCATGAAGTTTCATGGGAATTTGGTACGAGTGATGTCCCCAGAATCGATCGGCCTTTTGTTTGAGAGTGCAGCTCTAGCCTTTACACAACCAAGTGTGACCTACAAGGCAGTAGGAGTGGAGTAGGGAGTCCACTATCCATTGGCAGCCGGTGACCGGAGTTCGGTTCATACGCCTTTTGAATGGGGCCAGACATCCAGGACGTCCAACAAGCCCTTTGTCCATACGTCTGCCGGTGAGCTCCAGTGAGCTTCATACGCCAGTCGTTGGAGGTTTGGAATCAGGGTTTAGCCATCTCCCCTAGACTGTCATCCAATGGACAGTCAACCCGGTGAAGAGCGCCGGGCATCCGCTTTCGCCCTCTCACTTTGGTGAAAAACACCTCCGCCACGTGAAGGCATGAGTAGGACTTCCTCAGGAGAGGCTATGTAAGACGCCCGGTCATATGGGAGCATTTCAAGAGGTGTGCGGAGGGGTGGCCAACCCGCAGCGCAAGGCACCCACCCCCGACCATCCTGAGGCTTTGGAGTGTCATCCTTCCAGGTGACTTCAATGTGCAGCGAGATTTTTGAATTCTTCACGAATGATTTTTGATTGGTGAATAGCTATCTTGTCGTAGTTAGGGAGGGAGTCTTCAAAAGTAGGCAGGCAGGCAGCCACCACCAGAGTTCGAACCCCCCCACCCCCGAGGACCTTCCGGTTACAACCACCAGCCAATATCATCGATGAGTAACTAACTGTTCTAACTGCCTGACTTGATAAGCGGTCGTGTACTGATCATGACTTGTCACTAGAATTCCAGGTGAACCCCCCACCCCCGCCTTGTATATACAGTTAGAACTAGTTAGTTTTCAAGTATTGGTTTTGTAAGGATTTTGTTTGATTGCATGGAGGATTTCATCATGAGCTGACATCAGTTAGAGAACCATTGGAAAACATGCAGGACTCTTCAGTGGTACACACCCACCAGGATTCGAGCCCAGGACCTTCTGGTTACAAGGCGAGCTCGTAGACTATTAAGCCACTGAGACCCAATCAAATGACCAGTCCATGGATTCTAACTTCTGTCAATTCACGACATAGCGCGACCATTTTGCAATGTCTTCTTCGATGAGTTACTGCTTCACCGTCAACCTGCTGTAACCTATTGGTCACGGCTTCCCACTAGAACCCCAGGTTAACTGCCTGAATAGGGCCAGTCACTAGTGAGCATCAGATTAATTTTCCAAGTATTGGTTTTGTAGTTTTCCAGTGGTTCTCTAACTGATGTCAGCTCATGATGAAATCCTCCATGCAATAGAACAAGTTAGTCTCATAGCTGAACACAAAGATAAGGAAACCACTGAAGAATTCCATGTTTACAAGGGAGAGGCATTCCTGTCAATCACGTAGAACTTCGAAATACTCACTTTATACTGAGTTAAGCACTGAGGATGTTATCTACACTAGAAGGACAATGAAAGCTTGACTATTAAATTGAACTGGAACACAAATGACACAACTCTCCTGACAACGAATGCATCCATCCATCTATCGATCTACTCGAACTGCACATTCTTCTACATTATTTCAAAATATTCTCCGGTTTTTTAATGTTGACTTCAATTACACCTACTTGCATCGGAAATCTCAAAATGTCTAGTCGTTTCTTCGGTGCAGACTGAATTCTATCAGTCAGGTTTGCAATGTGGCCATCATGCCACTAGGTAGCTCGCCATCACAGTCCATATTGATTTGATGATATCAGATATTTGTAGGCAATCGGCATGAAGCCTTGGACCTAGCATGAAACCTAGGTCGAAGCAGAGCTTCCTGCCGATCGCCTCCAACCATCTAATATCATTAAATGCTAGTGTCTTAGATGCCTTTCTATTTTCTCTGAATTGTCTTTTATTTTTCTTCCAATGGCTATTACACAATAGTGTCCGCTTACTATGCAGCATTTTCTTTTCTTGATATGGTATATACATGCCTAAGTAGGAGTTTAATCTCTTTAACCGAAGGGGAGAGCTTTCCATAGTCAAATATATACATAAATGGGGTTTTCCTTCTGATATCGAATCAACTACTCATAGCAGACAACAGACTATTGTTGAGGTGTCGTCAGTTAGAAACTGCTGAAAACCAGCTGGCACTGGACGGTTGTTTTGTCCTTGTCCGGAACTTTTCAGCAGTGAACAACCCCACTACCTCGCCAGGGATCGAACCTGAAACCTTCATGTTATGATGTTGAGACGTGGCTCACCACCGGCTTAAACACTTGGTTTTCAGTCAGTAGGTGGCGGGTTCGATTCCCGCTCCCCTCCTCATCCTACTTCAACCTGAGAAACTGCGTAATATCAGCAGGCGTCACACAATATGAATTTTATGAATGGTCTGTTCCAGGAATCGAGTTCACTAAACTAAGTGTTGAAACTATAGGTATTGGTTTTGAGCCTCAGTAGGGAGACACATCACCATCGTTCACTAGGGAATGCTGATGAGTCCCAGATCGAATGAAATGCCTACTGTCTTAGATTCCACCACTGCTAGTCACTATCCACCAGTTTGCTTAAAATTAAATATCTATAAAACACAAAATAATCGAGCAAAGAATATTCTTTTCGATAAATTCCTTTTCCGGCTCTACAATCATATATATGTTTATATACATAAAATATTCTAGAATAGTAGTCAACAACAATATTAGTGTTTTTTAAATAATATCGATTTGTTAAGTAAGATCACAATGGAATTACAGTTCATTAAAGATGCATAAATTATAATAATAATAATAATAGTAATAATAATAAAGATATAATAGCAAATAGAATATCAAATAAATCTAAGGAAATTTCCACAAAAATTGAGGATCATTCAAACCTAGATGGCCAAGGGAAGGGGGATAATGTCTGAACTAGCTTCTTTTGGACGCATAAATTAGGCTTCTTAATGTGGATCCCAACAACCAGCCTCAGCAATATTTAGTAGTCGAACTCTTAAGGCGAAGATAAGATTTGTTGGTATTCGGTAAATGACCCTGAAAGCCTGGTTAACATCAATCTTGTGTTCTGTATTCACAAGATGAGATAGAATAGCACTGCGACTAGATTTGGTTTGTCCTTTGCTTAACCGCACAGGATGATGTTCGGAAATTCGACGAGAAACACGCCTAATTGTACGGCCTATGTAACTGGCTCACTCCACAGGAGCAGTTAAATTGGTAGATACACGTGGATATTGTTATTGACTACTAATCTAGAATATTCTATGTATACAAGCATATATATAATTTTCTGTAGTTTTGGTTTGTAAGGATTAGTTATGTTTTACGGGTTGATCACGGACTGATATCAATTAGAGAACCACTGAAAACCAGGGAGTACTGGACAGCTGCTGTTTCATCCTAGTTTGGGATGTCCAGTACTCCCTGGTTTTCAATGGTTCTCTAACTGATATCAGTCCGTGATCAACCCGTAAAATATATATAATTGCATGGAGGATTTCATCAGGAGCTGACATCAGTTAGAGAAGCACTGGAAAACCTGGGAGTACTGGACAGCTGTTTCGTCCTAGTTTGGGACTCTTCATCGGTACGCACCCACCGGGATTCAAACACAGGACCTTCTGGTTGCAAGGCGAGCTCGTTCTCTAACTGATGTCAGCTCATGATGAAATCCTCCATGCAATCAAACAAAATCCCTACAAAACGAATACTTTAAAATATATATAATTGTAGAGCCAGAAGAGGAGGAATTTATCGAAAAGGATATTCTTTGCTGGCTCAATTATTTTGTGTTTTATAGATGTCTGAATGAATATTTTCGCTGTAATAAAAGTTAAATAGTCTAACATCATCAACGAAACATCTACACAAGGAGTCACCGACATGTATGTTAACCTGAAGGCCTAGTATCTCGGTTCAGTCAGTCAGTCAAAGACCAAAGTCCAAATTGAATATTAAATCAAATATATTTCCATTTGTACATTTAATTTGGAAAAGAAGATACACAGGATATAACAGTTTTTCAATGGCATCCTTTTTAAGACATCGTATATAATGAGATAGTAGTGATCAGACAAATTGTCCGTTATCTAGAACACACTCTTCCTCTCTCTCTCTCTCGCGCGCGCTATATATATGTCACATGTTCATTTGTTGGCTAGTGATCAGTCGCAGTAGTTATTATTATTCCATCTATCTATTATTCGAATGACGAAACAAGTGTCCTCCACATTTCCCTTAAGTGATCACGTCGCCGATGAGATGATGGCAAGAGATGAAAAGGACATTAGTTCATTTTTTTAAAAGCATTGAATGTTGAAAAGTACGATGATTTTGCATATCTCGCTTCAGTTTGTGAAAGTCGAGTGAGTTTATTGATAAGTCTGCGTACAGGAAGACCATAAGTAAAACTTGGGCAATGTAGTAGTAAGTAATTCCATATTAGTTTGTTTATTCAATGTATCACACAGTCAGTGAAACAGTATTATTTACTGGATGACAAAGTTTCGAACAAAATTTATTGCTGTTCATAATCATATCGCCAATTATAATCACACGACTTCGAAACTTGAGTTTTTATAGTTTTCTTTGTCCTCTCCTATTTGT